TGACAATGACCCTAGCCAAATGCAAAACAGGTGAAAAATGGTCCAAAAAAAAAAAAGATGAGTAGGTAAATAAATGTCAGTGGCCTCCACCTGTAAAACCATTTCTGTTTTGGGAGTCGTCTCATTGTTGCCCATCTAGTGCACCTGTTGTTTTCATTAAAACCAAAGCAGCTGAAACTGATTAACAACCTCCTCTGCAACTTAAATGACCAGATCCAGATCCCAGGAGAAGGGGTGGACTGACGACTCATGGGGCCCTCGGGCAATAGGGGATCATGGGGCCCCTGTGTCCTTGACCAAACTCAAAAAAGCCTATGAGAAAGGTACCAGGGGCATCTCATGGGGCCCCCTACTGATCCCGGGCCCTCGGGCAGTGCCCGAGTTTTCAAATGGTCAGTCCGCCCCTGCCCAGGAGTTTCATCGACTTGATGTGGACTCGGATTACAAAGTCTTCCTTTACGTTTTTTGAGCGCGTATTACAATTTTTCGTAAGTTTTGAAACACCCTTCTCGAAAACCTGTCACCATGTTTTGTCGTAACACGTATACGAAGCTAACAGTTCTCCAGATTTTAATGAATTTGTTACCTTTATGGAGCAATCTTTGCCGGATCCTAAGGAAGACGAGACGTCAAAGACTACTCAAGGATCTTCTACAAAAGAACTATTAGAAAGAATAAGAATTCCAAACTGTTGTCAGAAGTGAAATAAACTCTTTCTGTATCTTGCAGGAAATAAGCGGTTATCTGTGACTGCGCACGGATCCCCTCTTCTGTTTGCACATATGCCGTTATCATATTCACATTTACGCTTCGCAGCTCGGAATATAATAAAGCGCACACAACTTATCACTGCCAGCGACGCAACATTAATCAAGCACATTACGGCACGCTTTGCTAGCTTTCCATTGTGCTAAGTCTAGCATGTCAGGATGACGAAACTCAGGCTCATTCTTCTTCCGCGTATGAAAGGATACAAATGGAAATGTTTAAAGCTGAACTCCAGGAAAACACCTCAATATTAGTGTTGGGCTCGATGTTAGAGTCGAGCGGAAGTTTGACTCGAACACGGTAAGGGCGTTCGCCGAACACGGTAAGGGGGCATTCGCCCTGCCATGCGGCTCACAATGCACTATGCTCTCACAGTGCATTGTGAGAGCCATGATTGGCCAAAGCAATACACCTGGCCTGTGCTTTGGCCAATCACAGCACAATGCACTGTGAGAACCATGACTGGGCAAAGGTACGGTGACTTTTGGCCAATCATGGCTCACGGCTATGTCCACGCCCAGGGGTGTATTTACCACAAGGCAAACAAGGCATTTGCCTAGGGTGGCATTTTTCAGGGGGGCAGCACTGTCCCTTGGAAGAAGGGATGGAAGAAGGGACACAAGCGGCATGGGGACCTGGTGGGTTCCGAGAGATGCTGTGGGTTTCATGACGGTGTATGCACAGCCCGACTCTCGTTCCTGGGGATGTCTGTGAAGATGAGTGTCTTTTTCTCTCTCACCATGGGGGATGGTGGCTGGTGTATGGGGATCAGTGGTAGTGGAAGGCTCGGGTGGAGGACATTGGTGTTCTTGGTCAATGTCAGACTCTTTCTGCAGGGGGGGGGGCGGGCACCAATTTTTGTGTTGCCTAGGGCAGTACAAAACCTAAAAACACTACTGTCCACGCCCCACACTATATAAGACTGCTGACCCTGCAGCCTCATGCAGTGTGTTGCTGGACACTGCCGAAGACAGAGGAGAGAAAAAAATAATAATAATAAAAAAACGTATATATAAAAAAAACAAAAAAACAAAAGAAAGAAACAGCGTGGGTCCCCCCCCCCCCCACCTATACTAGACCCTTTAGGTCTGGCAGGAAGCTTAGGAGGTACCCCACAGTAAAAAAATCAGGAAAAAAAAAGTTTGTGGGGTTCCCCTTAAGAGCCCTACCAGACCTTTAGGCCTGCTAGACCCCCAAAAATGGGGGGGAGCATGGGGCCTCCCTAAATTCCTACCAGACCCTTGATCCGAGTATAGGCCTTGCAGGACAGGAAAGAGGGGGGCTGATCGAGCATCCGCCTCTCCCTGTGACTTACCAGGCCATGGGGATGGGTGCAAGGGCCTCTTCCCCACAACCCTGGCCCGTTGGCTGTGGGGGTCTGGGGGCCTAGGGGCTCATTAGCATCAGGGTACTCCTTTAAATAAGAGGGCACCCTGATGCTGCCCCCCACCATGTGAATGAGAGAGGGGACCCCTACCCATTCACTAAAGGGTCACATTTAGAAAAAAGAAAGATGCCAAACAATGGAAAATTTCCTTTAACTGAATGTAAAACAAAACCGTTTTTTGTCAAAAGCGGTTTGGCACTAATGCATTCTATTGGCCAGAAAATAATTTATTCTGGCCATTAGCGTGTGCAAACGTGTGTTACCGCTTGGCGTGTTTATGAACGTACACTCGTTATTACATTCTAAAGACCAAAATAAATGAATATTCTGGTGAATAAAATGCATTAATGCCAAAAAAAAAAACGGTTTTATTATCTGCTGCTTTTTCCCTGTAAGGAGAAAAGGCAACAAAAGAATACAGTGTGCATGTGGCCTTGTGGGCTCTAGGAACAGGGGACCCCAGAAAACAGTGACTTCTTCAAGGCTGGGGTAGCACATGCGCAGTGTGAGAACTTGCTTTCCTGCTTCCGGTTTTTGTTTTTGTTTTTCCCCACATTTTAGAGCGTTTCTACTTGTTGCGCATTAAAGTGAATGGGCTGCCCTATGCATGACAAACATAGGGCCAATGCCACAAAAAAATCCTGTTTACAACATGCTCAACAACACCTTGACGCACCTCACCAGACATTGGCGCAGTAAAGGCTTCCTTCTGCCAACTCAACCATGCAGCTCATTTTTGTTCATGCATCATCGTATTGTGCTTCTTGAAACAACCGCACCGTCTTTTTCCAGAGCAGCCTGTATTTCTCTTGAGGTAACCTTTGGATTTTTCTCTCTATCCTGAACAATTCTTCTGGCCGTTGTGGCAGCAATCTTCCGTGCTCTACCTGACCTTGGCTTATTATCAAGAGATCCCAGAACTTTCCTCTCCTTAAGTGCTTGAACCAGGGGTGGACTGACCATTTGGAAACTCGGGCACTGCCCGAGGGCCCGGGGTCAGTAGGGGACCCCATGAGATGCCCCTGGTACCTTTTTCATAGGCTTTTTTGAGTTTGGGCAAAGACACAGGGGCCCCATGATCCCCTATTGCCCGGGGGCCCCATGAGTTGTCAGTCTGCCCCTGATCCCGGAGCAACACTGTAGGGTGTTCCCGAGTGTAGCTCGGGGTTACCGCTTCTGGTACTGAAAGTTAGCTCCGGGAACACCGCCAGGGGGGGTTAATCCAGGGGAGGAGCCAAAGGGGAATTTGGTGCTTATCTTTTCAGCAATACCATTTAGAAGATACCATTTTTTTTTCAGCATGGAACATAGACAGATGGCCCCATAAAAGTTTTGTTTTTTGGGGAGTTGGAAGGTCCAGGAGGAGGATTATAAAACAGGCTTTTTTGAGTTTGGGCAAGGACACAGGGGCCCCATGATCCCCTATTGCCCGGGGGCCCCATGAGTTGTCAGTCCGCCCCTGCTCCCATACTTAAAAAAACCCTCATTGGACCCCACCAACCTTACGACTTAAGAGCAATCTCCTTGCTCCCATTCATCTATAAACTTGTAGAACGCTTGGTCAACAACCGTCTTAGCTCCTACCTCACTGTAAACAACCTTCTTGAACCCTTCCAGTCTGGCTTTCCCTCACAGCACTCCACAGAAACTGCTCTACTGAATTTCACGAATGATTCTTTGAAAATAAAAGTTAACTGTAAAAATACACTATATTGCCAAAAATATTGGTCGGCCTGCCTTAGACGCACATGAACTTTAAAGGCCTCCCAGTCTTAGTCCGTAGGGTTCAATATTGAGTTGGCCCCGCCCTTTCCAGCTATAACAGCTTCAACTCTTCTGGGAAGGCCGTCGTCCACAAGGTTTTAGGAGGGTGTCTCTGGGAAGGTTGGACCATTCTTCCAGAAGCACATTTGTCAGGTCAGGCACTGATGTCGGGGGAGGAGGCCTGGCTCGCAGTCTCCGCTCTAATTCATCCCAAAGGTGTTCTATGGGGTTGAGGTCAGGACTCTGTGCAGGCCAGTCAAGTTCCTCCACCCCAAACTGGCTCCTCCATGTCTTTATGGACCTTGCTTTGTGCACTGGTGATGTTGGAACAGGAAGGGGCTATCCCCAAACTCTTCCCACAAAGTTGGGAGCATGAAATTGTCCAAAATGTCACCTTAAGAGTTCCCTTCACAGGAACTAGGGGGCCAAGCCCAACCCCTGAAAAAGAACCCCACACCATAATCCCCCCTCCACCAAACTTTACACTTGGCACAATGCAGCGAGGCAAGTACCGTTCTCCTGGAAACCACCAAACCCAGACGCGTCCATCGGACTGCCAGACAGAGAAGTGTGATTGGTCCCTCTAGAGAACATGCCTCCACTGCTCTAGAGTCCAGTGGCGGCTTGCTTTACACCATGGCCTCCAACGCTTTGCATTGCACTTGGTGATGGAAGGCTTGGATGCAGCTGCTCGGCCATGGAAACCCATTCCATGAAGCTCTCTACGCACTGTTGTTGGGCTCATCTGAAGGCCACACCAAGTTTGGAGGTCTTTAGCTATTGACTCTGCAGACAGTTGGCGACTTCTGCGCACTGTGCGCTTCAGCATGCGCTGACCCCGCCCTGTCATGTGACATGGCCTACAACTTGGTGGCTAAGTGGCTGTTCCCAGTTGCTTCCACTTTGTTATAATCCCACTAACAGTTGAGCGTGGAATATTTAGTAGCCAGGAAATGTCACGGATGGACTTATTGCCCAGGTGGCCACCTATCACGGGACCACGCTTGGAGTCACTGAGCTCCTGAGAGCGACCCATTCTTTCACCAATGTTTGTAGAAGCCGTCTGCATGCCTAGGGGCTTGATTGTATACACCTGTGTCCATGGAGGGGATTGGAACACCTGAATCACATGATTGGGAGGGGATTGGAAGACCTGAATCACATGATTGGGAGGGGATTGGAACACCTGAGTCACATGATTTGGGAGGGGATTGGAACACCTGAATCAGAAGATTGGGAGGGGATTGGAACACCTGAATCACAAGATTGGGAGGGGATTGAAACACCTGAATCAGAAGATTGGGAGGGGATTGGAACACCTGAATCACATGATTGGGAGGGGATTGGAACACCTGAATCACATGATTGGGAGGGGATTGAAACACCTGAATCAGAAGATTGGGAGGGGATTGGAACACCTGAATCACATGATTGGGAGGGGATTGGAACACCTGAATCACATGATTGGGAGGGGATTGGAGCACCTGAATCACATGATTGGGAGGGGATTGGAACACCTGAATCACATGATTGGGAGGGGATTGGAACACCTGAATCACATGATTGGGAGGGGATTGGAGCACCTGAATCACATGATTGGGAGGGAATTGGAGCACCTGAATCACATGATTGGGAGGGGATTGGAACACCTGAATCACATGATTGGGAGGGGATTGGAGCACCTGAATCACATGATTTGGGAGGGGATTGGAACACCTGAATCACATGACTTGGAGGGCGGGGGGACAATACTTCTGGCAATATAGTGTATGTTGAGTGTTGCAAATTTATGTTCATAAAGTTACAATTTTGCAAAGTGGAAGGAGCAGAGCCGCTTCTTTATTTTTGTAGCCATTGAGTATTCGTTGTAAAACCAGACCAGGGAGTTTATTTATTTTTTTCTAATAGAAATATTTTTCAACTCAACCATGCGGCTTAAATAGTGATATCTGCTTTTGTATTACCGCTTAGATTACGTGTTGAAACGCTCTGAGATGGTTCGGCCATCCAAATCTCCAGTTTAGGGTGAGATAAATATAATTAGGAACGGTTCTTCACAGCTGGAAGAGGAACCGTCTGTAATAAATATTTCCCCTTCTCTCCTCCGAAGATGAAAATTGCGGCAGCCTTTTATTGGCTGATGGTTTTTAAATCAACAAAAGCTTGTTGCTTTCATGGTCGAAGATTCCATTACGGTTTGTTCCTGCGGTAATAAACATTTTGCCGGAGCGGCGGCGTGTCAGCCAGTCACAATGTTGAATGTAACAATGAGAGAGAAACAGACGGAGAGATCGATCTTCATGACTTCGATGCACACAAGTGCTTTTTTTTCTGCCGTTACGGGCTGAGCGTACAAGGCGATTAAATAATCAGGGCGATTACCCTGGAGGAATATAAATCGCAAGACCGGCCGACCAGAAAAAACGCCGTCTATTAGCAAAGGAGAAGACGGCAGAGAGACGCTATAAGGACCTATAAGGAGGACCTTGGCCGGAGTTTAAAGGGAAACTGACGTCTTTTTTTTTTTTTTTTTATTTGCTATATGTGTGAAATTATTTCATTTGGCTTTAACCCTTCCCACATGGAAGAAAAATATATTTTAAATGCTACAATTTTGGCTGTATTCAATATATTTCAAAATATATTTAAATAAATATATATATACACACACACATATATTGTTGAAATGCATTTTTATTACAAAATATATGAAAAATATTTTTCAAAATATATTTTCAAATTTACTGTATGTCTTTAAAAATAAATTTACATTTTTGGAATGCATTTACAAATATATGTAAAAACATGTTAAAATGACTTCTTCCAAAATATATTCACATATATTTGAACTGCTACAATTTTGGCCATATTCAATATATTTCAAAATATATTTATATATATATATATATATATATATATATATATATATATATATTACAGGTGAAACTCGGAAAATTAGAATATGGTGCAAAAGTTCATTGATTTCAGTGCAGCAACTTAACTACCTGCCGACCGCAGATAGCCGAATGACGGCTGCACCGCGGCCGGCCAGTTCTGGGGGGACGTCATATGACGTCCCCCCAGAACGCGCTCTCCTGCGCGCCCCAGGGGGCGCGCACCCGGCGATCTCCGTGATCGCTGTGTCCTACGGACACAGCTGATCACGAGATGTGGTAAAAGGCCGATCATACCGGCCTTTTACCACGTGATCAGCGGTGTCCAATGACACGCTGATCAGAGGGAAATGCAAGTGCCGATTCTCGGCTGCACTTTCCTCACGCTGTCAGATCGTGAGGAAAGTACTGCCGAGAACCGGCAGTTGTCAGAGCGGGGGATCGGCACCGATCATCAGGGCACTGATAGTGCCCTGATGATCGGTGCCCAGCAGTGCCACCCGCAAGTTCCGCCCAGCAGTGCGCCCACTAGCTCCGCCCACCCGTGCCCAGCAGTGCACCCACCTGTGCCCAGCAGTGCCCCCACCTGTGCCCAGCAGTGCCCCCACCTGTGCCACTCTGCAGTGCCACCTACCTGTGCCCAGAAGTGCCACCTACATGTGCCCAGCAGTGCCACCCACCTGTGCCCACCCACCTGTGCCCACCAGTGCCACCCACCTGTGCCCACCAGTGCCACCCACCTGTGCCCACCCTCCAGTGCTGCCCACCAGTGCCGCCCACCAGTGCAGCCCAGCAGTGCTGCCAGTCAGTGCCACCAGTCAGTGCCCAGGGGTTGTGCCAGTCAGTGCCCAGCAGTGATGCCAGTCAGTGCCGTCTATCAGTACCCATAATCAGTGTCACCTATCAGTGCCGCCTATCAGTGCTGCATATCAGTGCCGCCTATCCGTGACCCCTAATTAGTGCTGTCTATCAGTGCCGCCTATCCGTGCCACCTCATTAGTACTGCCTATCAGTGCCCTTTAGTGCTGCCTATCAGTGCCCATCAGTGCCACCTATCAGTGCCCATCAGTGCCACCTATCAGTGCCCATCAGTGCTGCCTCATCAACGCACATCAGTGATGGAGAAAAAATACCTGTTTGAAAAATTTTATAAAAGAAACAAATAAACTTTTTTTTTTTTTTTTTAATTTTTTTGCACTTTTTTATTTATAGCGCAAAAAGTAAAGTGCCCAGTGGCGATTAAATACCACCAAAAGAAAGCTCTATTTGTGAGAAAAAAATGATCAAAATTTCATATGGGTGCAATTTTGCATGACCGCGCAATTGTCAATCAAACTACGGCAGCACTGAAAGCTGAAAATTGGCCTGGTAAGGAAGGGGGTATAAGTGCCCGGCAGGCGAGGGGTTAAAAGGTGAAACTAATATATGAGACTCATTACATGCAAAGCAAGATAGTTCAAGCCGTGATTTGTCATCATTGTGATGATTATGGCTTACAGATCATGAAAACCCCAAATCCACAATGTCAGAAAATGAGAATATTCCATGCAATCAATAAAACACGGATTGTACATAGAACAATATCGGACCTCTGAAAAGTAGAAGCTGCATATGTACTCAGTACTTGGTTTGGGCCCCTTTTGCAGCAATTACTGCCTCAATGCGGCGTGGCATGGAAGCTATCAGCCTGTGGCACTGCTGCTGAGGTGTTATGGAAGACCAGGATGCTTCAATAGCGGCCTTCAGCTCTTCTGCATTGTTCGGTCTCATGTCTCTCATCTTTCTCTTGGCAATGCCCCATAGATTCTCTATGGGGTTCAGGTCAAGCGAGTTTGCTGGCCAATCAAGCACAGTAATCCCACGGTCATTGAACCAGGTTTTGGTGCTTTTGACAGTGTGGGCGGAGCCAAGTCCTGCTGGAAAATGAAGTCAGCATCCCCATAAAGCTCGTCTGCTGAAGGAAGCATGAAGTGCTCCAAAATCTCCTGGTAGACGGCTGTGGTGACCCTGGACTTAATGAAGCACAGTGGGCCAACACCAGCAGATGACATGGCTCCCCAAATCAACACAGACTGTGGAAACTTCACACTGGACTTCAAGCATCTTGCAGTGTGTGCCTCTCCATTCTTCCTCCATACTCGGGGTCCTTGTGCCTCTCCATTCTTCCTCCATACTCGAGGTCCTTGTGCCTCTCCATTCTTCCTCCATACTCGGGGTCCTTGTGCCTCTCCATTCTTCCTCCATACTCGGGGTCCTTGGGCCTCTCCATTCTTCCTCCATACTCGGGGTCCTTGGGCCTCTCCATTCTTCCTCCATACTCGGGGTCCTTGGGCCTCTCCATTCTTCCTCCATACTCGGGGTCCTTGGGCCTCTCTATTCTTCCTCCATACTCGGGGTCCTTGTGCCCCTCCATTCTTCCTCCATACTCGGGGTCCTTGGGCCTCTCCATTCTTCCTCCATACTCGGGGTCCTTGGGCCTCTCCATTCTTCCTCCATACTCGGGGTCCTTGTGCCTCTCCATTCTTCCTCCATACTCTGGGTCCTTGGGCCTCTCCATTCTTCCTCCATACTCTGGGTCCTTGGGCCTCTCCATTCTTCCTCCATACTCGGGGTCCTTGGGCCTCTCCATTCTTTCTCCATACTTGGGGTCCTTGGGCCTCTCCATTCTTCCTCCATACTCTGGGTCCTTGTGCTTCTCCATTCTTCCTCCATACTCGGGGTCCTTGGGCCTCTCCATTCTTCCTCCATACTCGGGGTCCTTTTGCCTCTCCATTCTTCCTCCATACTCGGGGTCCTTGTGCCTCTCCATTCTTCCTCCATACTCGGGGTCCTTGTGCCTCTCCATTCTTCCTCCATACTCGGGGTCCTTGGGCCTCTCCATTCTTCCTCCATACTCGGGGTCCTTGTGCCTCTCCATTCTTCCTCCATACTTGGGGTCCTTGGTTTCCAAATGAGATGCAAAAGTTGCTCTCATCAGAAAAGAGGACTTTGGACCACTGAGCACCAGACCAGGTCTGTTTTTCTTTAGCCCAGTTAAGACGCTTCTGACGTTGTTTGTTGTTCAGGAGCGGCTTGACAAGAGGAATACGAGATTTGAAGCCCATGTCCAGGATCCGTCTGTGTGTGGTGGCTCTTGATGCACTGACTCCAGCCTCAGTCCACTCCTTGTGAAAGTCCCCAACACTTTTGAATGGCCTTTTCCTGACAATCCTCTCCAGGCTGTGGTCATCCCTGCTGCTTGTGCACCTTTTTCCTCCACACTTTTCCCTTCCACATAACTTTCTATTAATGTGCTTTGATACAGCACTTTGGGAACATCCAACTTCTTCTGCAATGACCTTCTGAGGCTTTCCCTCCTTATGGAGGGTGTCAATGATGGTGTCAGGTCAGCAGTCTTTCCCATGATTGTGATTCCTACTGAACCAGACTGAGAGACCATTTAAAGGCTCAGGAACCCTTTGCAGGTGTTGTGGCCGAATGAGCTGATTAGAGTGGGACACTTTGAGCCGAGATTATTCCACCTTTTCACAATATTCTCATTTTCTGAGATTGTGGATTTGGGGGGGGTTTTCATGAGCTGTAAGCCATAATCATCACAATGATGACAAATCACGGCTGGAACTATCTTGCTTTGCATGGAATGAGTCTCATATATTAGTTTCACCTTTTAAGTTGCTGCACTGAAATAAATGAACTTTTGCACCATATTCTAATTTTTCGAGTTTCACCTGTGAATTGTACATTCACATCAGTCCCTAACCCTCAAGGGACCTTACAATCTGAGATTCCTAACTCACATTCAAACATACTAGGGCCAATTTAGACAGGAGCCAATTAACGAACCAGCATGTCTTTGGAGGTGGGAGGAAACCGGATTAC